ACTGCTCGTTAAGTGTGGTTTACAAAAGGTATGTGTAGTTTGCATTGATTCAACTAGTCCCGACTACCATGATACACCGTGTTATGAGCCAAGTCTTTAAACAGGGGGACCATGTTCTCATGATCAAACTCAGGAGTGCACTTTGTTTAGGGAATAGCACAACCAACCAAACAATGCTTTGTGTGTGAAGATTTTTTTTAAACAAACAACTCCCGCCACTTGGCTTTGTTGGACCTTTACCAAACCAAAAGATGCAACTGCAGCAACAGAAAGAGAGATTTGCTGAACAATAGTATCTCATCTAGTGGTTAAAAAATAAATTGGGAAGTGAAATAGATGATGAGAGAGGATTAGAATTATGAACCATGGATAGCCTGCGCTTTAATTTACTTATGGTTGTTTTTTAGGAGTGTGGTATTATAGAGGCCCTTTATCTTATGTGAAACACCACTTTAAATGTTGATCCGACAAAAACAGCTGTGCAAATTACGTGTACCATCATTTTTTCCGATGATCAATTGCACATATTTTAGATATAACAGGTGCAATCATGCGAAAAACTGCTTCATATATGATATGCCCCCCTTGTTTAAGCTTAAAATGTAAGTACGAACAAGGTGACGTGCAATGATAGGCATTGGGTGTAATTTACTCAAAGATACATGGGAAAAGGAGAAAGAGATGCATATATATATATATATATATATATATATATATATATATATATATATATATATATATATATATATATATATATATATATATATATATATATATATATATGCATCCAAAAGCAATGGACAGTGCCCCTATATTCCGCGATACATATAGTCATCTTCAACCTCTCTATATTAGCTAATACTCCATGCGATCGACAGGGCCGAAAGGAAGAAACAACTCATAATAATGCACGAGAGATGCTTCCCCAATATCTCTAATCATAGCATCCTAGTAATCATTCCACACTAGTAGTTTTTCTATTCCTCATTGATCATCCTATTGTTCACATATCACCTATAGAACTGAGTTATCGGGTCACTAAACACCGGGTTTGTTCGCCTTGCGAACCGATAAGCATACCTCAGATCAGATCAATGCAGTGCACCCAACTATATATATCAGTGATCAGATGATAAAACCGGATCACCAAATAAATCCTACAAACCGAACCCGTCACGAGCGACAACCTGTTAACACACCGTGTTCTCAGCTGAATTGAAAAATCAACCCGGGACCCGGAAAACCGCGTATCCATCCACCCATTTGGTCCATCCACTACCGGACACGGCTGATTTGCCGAGTGCAAAAAGCTTTGCCGAGTGCTTTCTGTCGGGCACTCGGCAAAGGCAATCTTTGCCGAGAGCCGGACCTAGCGACACTGGGCAAAGATAGGCCGTCGGCAAATCTGTCTTTGCCGAGAGCCGGACACTCGACAAACTTTAGCCATCGGCAAAAATTTTCCTTTGCCGAGTGCCGGGTGCTCGGCAAAGATTGGCCGTCGGCAAAAAAATCTTTGCCGAGTGTCGGGCACTCGGCAAAATTTGGCCGTCGGCAAAGGTGGCCGGCGTGACGGCGACCACTTGCCGTCAGCCTTTGCCGAGTGCCCCGCCGTTAGGCACTCGGCAAAGGGTTTTTTATTTTTTTTAAAAAATTCTTTGCCGAGTGCCCTATGACCTAGCACTCGGCAAAGGCTTCTTTGTCGAGTGCCAAGGTTGGCACTCGGCAAATTAATTTTTTTTTTTTGTTTTTTTTGGCCCATTTTTTTCTGGGGCCTTGCTACAGCAATTAAAACTTCATTTCAAAATTTGGGACAATTTTGAGTTTTTTTACTATATTTCCTTAATTATTTTGGTTTCGTTGAATTTTTTCGACTATTTCAAATTTGAACTGCATGTACATGAAATAATGGAATTTGGTCATTCAAAAAATGGTATTCATGATGTTTGGCATATGTTGAGGCCGTATCCAGGAACTCGCATGAAATTACGAGCATCTTGTTGTCCTAACATGATGATGTACTTGTGGGAAAAGTGTATTTAAATTATATAAAATCCAAACGAAGTCCAAAAATCACGAAACTTGTCGAGGTGTCTTGTTATCGTATGTGGAGGCTGTGGTAAAAAATTGAGAAAGTTTAGAGCAAGTTGTGACGTCGGATGCCTAAAAGCCAGACATCTCCACATGTGATGGGTATACATCTGCACAAGAATGGGTTTACGCCGAACTACACCCGATGGGTCCACCATGGTGAAGCCGATCATATGAGAGAGGAGGTGGTGAGACCATGTGTCGAGGCTTTCGATGCTGATGCGGGGGTAGCAGACATGGTAGATGACGTTCACCAAGCACAGTTTGCTGAAGGATGTGAGGAGGCGGAGATGCAGGCAGCCGTAGATGCGTCAAGTACATGATGGACTCGGCGGCGAAACCCCTTCACGCTCATTCTGAGGTCTCTCAGCTGGATGCCATTAGTCGCTTGATGGGGTTGAAGTCCGATTTGAACATGAGTCGAGAAGGCTTCGATAAGGTGTTGGTCGTGGTTGGCACCCTCCTTCCAAAGGACCACATGTTGCCGAAGACCATGTACGAGGCACAGAAGCTCCTTAAAGCACTGAAGATGCCGTATGAGCAGATACATGTTTGTCCGAACGGGTGTGTCCTATTTCATGAATTTTTAGTATTCTGACGCTCCATTCTGCATGTTTCTTGTAATCATCTTGTTGTCTTTCTCGCAGTCGGCGTCACATGGTGCGCAGTCCATCTCCAATTTCATGGCATATGGTCTGGCCCGCAAGGGTAAGGCGACGTCCGCTGTCACCTTCACCCTGGATGACCCGCCCGAGTCCTCTGAAGAACCCGAGGCGTCCCACACCGCATCGGTTAGATGCAGCGTCGAGGCAAGGTCGGTACATGGGCGGATCGATCCGAAAGCACCGACGACATCGATGGGACGATGGTCATGAGGCTCGGACAAGGCAAGAAGCATGGGGCGGTAATTGGATTGGCGATGGCACCCTCGAGCCCAGCCGAGATTCCTCCTCTCCCGGATCCGAAAGCACGACCCGAAGCGGAGGCGGCCATACGCCAACGGCCATCCCCTTCACAGCAGCTGGTCGACGCACTCCAGGTTAGTCCCGTTTAACTCTTCGTACATTGATCTTTAAATAACTTAGTTACCTTTGCATTACTAAAACATTCGATTGAAATATTGCAGGCCGAGAACGAGAGGATGGCTCAGGAGCTGCGGGACCTGGTGGCAAGGACCGAGCAGGCAGAGCGAGAAAGACAGGACGAGCGGGTCAAGCGGGAAAGGCAGGCCAAGCAGCTGTCGGAGATTACGACGTTCTTGCAAAACTTTGGGCAAATGCACGGTGTAGCTGTGCCGCAGTTCGCTCCACCGTTGCCGTCAGTTATAGCTAGTCCTGTGAGTATGAAACCAAATTGTTTCGACTAGTGCTTTCATTAGATGACCACTCTAACAGATGCAATCTCTTGTCCTTTATGCAGCCTCCGTCGGCGGGTTCGAATAACCCATCTCAGGCGCAAGCAGGCGACGGCACTTTTCCTTCACCAAGCACTCAGTTTCTTCCCCACCGGTAGTTTGTATCTCTTTTTCACCGCTTGATGGACATGTGATGCACTGTGATCAACTATCGACTTGTTTCGATGGATATTGGACCTATTATGCTTGTGATGTCGTGTATGTGAGATATTGTGTGATCGACATGTGATATATATATATATATATATATATGTGGTATTGCCTTTGTGATGAGATGGATGTGATATATATGTGCTATATTGTGTTTGTGATGTCACAGATGTTATATATATCTCTTATATGTTGTGTTTGTGAATATATAATCAAAAAAATAGCCTCTTTGCCGAGTGCCCATGCAGAATATATTCTCAGCTTTGCCAAGTGCCAGGGCCAGGGCACTCGGCAAAGATTTTTTTTTAAAAAAAATTGCCGAGTGCTGCCCTGACAGGGCACTCGGCAAAGAAATTATGAAAAAAAATAAAAAATATTTGCCGCGCCCGACCTGGCAGGGCACTCGGCAAAGAAATTATTAAAAAAATAAAAAATCTTTGCCGAGTGCCTCCCCGGTAGGGCACTCGACAAAGAAATTTTGAAAAAAAAATTAAAAAATCTTTGTCGAGCGCCTCTGACATGGCACTCGGCAAAGCATGTGCTAACGCAACCGGCGCCGTGACGGTCACTTTTCTTTGCCGAGTGCCGAGATTGCACTCGGCAAAGACTTTGCCGAGTGCCCGATAAAAGGCGCTCGGCAAAGAATTCTTTGCCGACGGATTTTTTACCGGATGCTCTTTGCCGAGTGCTGCCCTCGGCAAAGGCTTTGCCGAGGACAAAGTAGCCTTTACCGAGTGCATTATGCACTCGGCAAAGCGCCTGAATCCAGTAGTGATCTAATGGAGCAAATTAGATTAGATATATGTGCATATATCATGATAATATTCATGGCCAAAGGGAAGCCACCCAGCGTGTAAACATAGTTATATGTAATGTGTACACTATAGATATTATGATGATGTGTGTATCCCTCCAGCGGCTGGCGGGCCCCGCCGCGCACATGGGGTGCCTCCGGATCCGACGGCCCCGGCGCGCCGTGACCCCGTCGACGGAGGAATCCATGTCGCCGGCCGACCCGGCAGGCCGCTCGTGGCTGCGCCCCCGCGGTCACCCTCGCAGGACAGCCTAGCCCACGCCCAGGACGTCGCTGCATGCATGTGTCCGTGTCGCCTCTCGCTCCCCTCGATCGACCAGTTCTTCCCTGGCAGCCTGGCTGGCCACCTCTCTCCTCCCGCCCTCCTATAAAACATGCGCACCGAGACCAAACACACAACACCAGCTCATCATCGCATCCACCTCATTCTAGCTCAGAGACGCAGAGATCGAGCTAGCTGCAACCGGAGAAGGAGAACTACTCTTCGCCGGCCGAAGGAGGAGTACGTGTTCTGTGTTCACAAGTACTTGGGACATGGAAACCGTTGTGGGAGACCTCATGGCGACCGAGTTGAGGCTTGGCCTGCCAGGCACCGTCGACGACTGCAGCCAGACCCAGGTGAAGGCCACGCCGCCGTCGACGCCTAGGGGCAAGAAGCGCGCCACCACCGATGCCGTGGAGGACGCCGCCGCCAAGGAGACCAACAAGCGTGACGCCGAGGCATCACCTCCTGCAGCCAAGTGAGTAGTAGTCTGACTCTGACAGCACCTACGTGTTCAGAAGAACAGTCTCTCGAAGCAGGTGCTCACACGATGGCTACATGTCAACTCTTGCAGGGCGCCCGTGGTCGGTTGGCCGCCAGTGAGGTCGTACCGGAAGAGCTGCTTCCAGCAGGCGAGCAGCAAGCAGCATGTCAGCAGCAAGGCGACCAACAAAGAGGAGGCGGCGGCGCCCAGCTGCACGGCGGCATCCGCAGCCGCCGCAAACACCACCGCCAGCGTCGTCGTCGGCTCCTTCGTCAAAGTGAGCATGGACGGCGCCCCGTACCTGAGGAAGGTGGACTTGAGGATGTGCAAGGGATACAGGGAGCTCCGGGAGGCCCTGGAGGCCATGTTCGTCTCCTCCAACAGCGACAGCGCCAACCTGTCCGAGTTCGCCGTCACCTACGAGGACAAGGACGGCGACCTCATGCTCGTCGGAGACGTGCCATTCGAGTAAGTAGTATTTCATCTTCTGTTCTGACTTCTTAGAGGCAACCTAGCTAAGAGAAGACTTTTTTGTGTTACCAACAAAATTACTGATGGTGTTCTTTAATTAATTTGCAGGATGTTCACTAGCACTTGCAAGAAGCTGAGGATCATGAAGAGATCTGAAGCCACAGGCCTGGGATCAGCGAGGCAATGAAGATCCATCTGAACTGAGGGACCGGATCGGACAATATGTCGTCATGACCTTCTTGGGTTTTTTTTTTTCCTTTTCATTATTTTTGTTCTTCTGGTTGGATCCCCAAGCCAAAGGATGAGCTTGGTGTATCGAAGCGCATACACGGATGTGTGCGGCTTTGATTCTGTAAGACGATTAGGTCTTTTTAGCAGCACAAAGGAGATGCATGCTGAGGTTGTTTCAGTTAACTCTCCATGTGTTTGTACAAACGAAACAATACAGTTATACTGATCGTTGATCCCTTATTAATTACTTGAAGTTCTCTCTTGAGCTTTCAGTTATTTCTTTCTTTTCGGCCCAACTTGTTTAGCGTTTTCATGCCTTCGTTTTCGTATTCTGATGCCTTGTGAGTCCATGCTTCATGGCGTTATATATGACATAATACCTTGGTAGATGTCTTTGGATGTTAATGTTATCGTTATATTGTCCCTTAGAGCGACTCCAAGGCAAAGTTTACAGAAGAGAAGGCTAACAAAGCTGCAACATATATATATGTAGCCTGTCCAAAATGCAAAACTGCAATCTCTCCTTGCTTTTGGTTCCTAACAACAGTTGACATTATTAACCAAGCAAGTCATGTTATCAGCCAAAACAAAGGGCAACTTGTTCTAAACGATCCAGTTTGACTTGAAACGAAAAGCTCTGATTCAAATCAGCCTGGCATGTCCATGTGCAAACCGAGGATTAAAATCTGATGGTGGCCGTTCTCAAGATCCAAAGCCAATGTGACAGACCGAGCTCAGTCAAACGAGAAAACAAGGTTATCACCGAGATTGACCGATGGGTCAAGGAAACACAGCGCAGACACAACGCCGATGACCTGCCTGCGTAACTGCGTTTTGTTGTCAACACTCAACACATGCATCGGTCGAGGCACCGGCGGACACCGAGCATGTGGCCGCACATGAGAGCTGCATCACCGAAGCATCCATTGGCATCAGGGAACTGCTAGTTAATCTATAGCTGATTGGTTGCCAGGGCTCTATCCGGCTAATCTGTCATTCAGAAGAAAAATAAAAATAGCCAAGTCAATATGCTCCTCCCTGTCCCTGAAATACGGCATATAAATTTTGGAGCTCTGCTAGCAGCTGTATCTTCTAACTATATATTCGTCTACCTTCTGGGATGCAGCGGTCTGTATGGTTGCTGGCGTGCATGACGCCTGGAGATACGGCAGGTCCATCTGCTGCACGCATAGAAAATGCTTCAGCGCAGATTCTTCAGACCACGTCGTCCGACAAGGCAAGAGGCCAGGGTACCATGTCCATGATAGTGTCCCTGTTTGGATCCAGGGGCTAGAGCTAGTTTGTGCTAGTTTGAGCTCAACTAGCCCAAAAGTATCCAAACAGGAGGGCTAGAGTGGGTTATTTGCAACTAGCCCACCCCAAAAAACTATCCCCTAAAAGAGGTGATTATTTGATCTAGTTCTGGTGGGGCCCACTGAAAACTCTTATTTTTTTATTACTCCACCCGCACCGGATCCTCGCGACTCCCATCCCCCCATAGCGACTCGCCTCCCCCCATCGCGACTCGCGCCGCCGCCAGTCCCAACCGCGCCGCCGCCGCTTCAATCCGCCAAAGGAGCAGCGCCGGTGGCCCCCCAGAGGCGGATCTCGGTCGCCCGTGCCGCCTCCCTCCCTCCCGCCGCGCCCTTCCCCTCCGTCTCCAAGGCCGCCGCCGCCGTAAGCTCCGGCCACAGCAGGTCGCCTCCACTGGGCCACTTGCTGCGCAGGTGAGAGTGAGCCACGTCTCCGTACCTCCAGATCGCCCCCGCTCTGCTGTGCTCTGATCTAGAGAAGTTCGCCATGGACGGAGACGGATTCGACGACTTGTGGAGCTCGCAGCCGTCGGCGAGCGGCCCTGCCCGCGCCGGTCTCGACCTCAACTCGCAAGCGCCGGTGGCGGAGGGGTTCCCGGGGCTTCGGTTGTACGGAGACTTCCTCCAGGGCGACGACGTCGAGCTCCTTCCTGGACGCGGCAGGGGCTCCGACCTCCCTCCCTATCGCCCACCGCGTGCCGGAGCAGGAGACGCCCCAGCATGCCCGACAACTGCTCTTTGGCGGCTCCTCCTCGGCGGCAGCCGGTCACGGAGGAGGAAACGGTGGCGGCTACACCGGTAGGTCGTCGTCGGGGGCAGGCGGTGGTGTTCGGCAGCGCGCGAACTCGGCCGCCGCAGCAGCCGGGCGGCGTCCCCAGCGCACCAACACGGCTTCCCGTGGCAACGGTGGCCAGGGCGTACCGCTTCCCCAAGCACCGAGGGCACCGAGGAGTGGCGTCCGTGGGCAAGCATCCGGCTCCGACGCTACCTTCGACATTAACGATGAAGCAATGGAGGATAACGTGGAGGAGTTAGGGAGCTCCGGCGGTCCCCGTGAGCCATGCCAGTCGAGCCCAATGGAATGATGCAAATAATGCTTGCTTGTTAGAATTGTGCATAGAGCAACGTAGAGCAGGAACGTATATTGGTTCACAAATGAGTGGTGAAGGGTACCAAGCCGTTGTCGATGGCTTACTTACCAGAAGAAGGTTGGTGTACACCCATGGACAAGTGAAGAACCAAATAGGCGTACTCAAAAACACCCACGCTTTCTGGCGCTACTTGCAAACGCACACAGGGTTGGGGAGGAGACCAGATGGATCCATTGATGCAGATCATGATTTCTGGCTAACTCACACAGAGGTACAATATTCCTTAGCATATTTTTTGTGCTCTCATATCTTAATTAGTATGCTTGGTTACTCTATGCTTGCTTCAAATTTGATCAATGCAAGTCGTTGCACATAGGAACTTATCACTGTCTTCTGTTTTATTTGGCTGTACATGCTGTTATCCTTTCGTTTGGACTGTCTTCTGTTTTACTTGGTTGTACATTAGTGAGTGTGAACTGCAGCAACAGCTAGTGCGTGTGAAAAAAAATGATGCTTGTGCTATTTTGTGGTGCCTGATTATACATCTTTATTGTAAACAGCTGATATTCTCCTGTCTTAACTAGTTTCTAATCAACTTTTGTGCTCTCATATCTTAACAGAAAAAACCATACTTAAAGAAGCTGCTGACGAGTCCTCCAGCAAACGAGGATTTGCTTGATGAACTGTTCAGAGGGTACACTGTGGATGGCACCATAGCCTTTATGCCTGGTGATGATTATAGTGACAATGAGGGGCAAGATGCAAGGACAGAAGATGAAGAAGAAGAAGAGTTTGCACAAACACCTACAAGTAGAAGCAGCCAGAGGAGCCAGAGGGGCAAGAGGGCATTGAACAGCACTACAAGCACTTTGACCAGTCCAGTGAAGAGGAGCAAGAGCCCAATGGTGAAGATTGTGAAGGACATAGTCAGTACCTTCAAAGAATCTGTCGCAGCCAACACTAAGCAAATCCAGAAACGTGCAAATGACAAGGCTGCATTTTCTGTCAAGAGGTGTCAGGAGCTGGCATTTGAGTGTGGCGTTGAAAAAACCGTTGACTCTGTCTATGCTATGTCCAAGATGTTCGAAACAGAGTACCAAAGGGAGTTTCTGTGATCAGTTAACTCCTGAGCTTAGGTTGGGTTACTTCAAGAAATGGTGCAGGGACAACAATTTGGAGTAGTTAGGATCTTTTGGGTCCATGTGTGTTGAACCTATCATCTATGTGTGAGGTGTTGAACTATTATATGTGCGTGTGAACTATTATGTGTGTCGTGTAATGATCCTTTATGCTATGTGTTGAACCCAAGGACCCAACATTTTCAGAAGTGCACCCAAACTTAGAAAATCCAGCATTCTGGCCACACTTCAACGAGTGCATAGGAGCTATAGATGGGACACATGTGAAGGTTATGGTGGATAAGAGTAAGAGAGTTCCATATTTGAACAGGCACAATGAGACCAGTCAGAATGTGCTTGCTGTTTGTGATTTCGACATGAGATTTACCTTTGTGTTGTCGGGATGGCCTAGTTCAGCACATGACATGAGAGTTTTCAAAGATGCCATAACTACTCATCATCACAAATTTTCACATCCACCACCAGGTTTGCTACTTGAACTTTCTTACAAAAATTTTTATCCAATTACACTTGTTCATCTAAGTCTCATTGTGTGCCTTTAAAAATATGTAGAGAAGTATTATGTGGTTAATGCGGGGTACCCAAACCGGCCGGGCTACCTTTCACCATACGGTACAAGGTACCATGTGGAGCAATGGCAAAACGGCCCGCCGCCACAAGGTATGAAAGAAACCTTCAACCATGCACATGCCAAAGTTAGGAATGTCATAGAGCGAACTTTTGGAGTGTTAAAGATGAAGTTTAGGATTTTGTTGAACATGCCAAGATTTCCAGAGGAGAAGCAAACTAGAATTATTGTTACTTGTATGGCTCTTCATAATTTTATTCGAGAGAGCAGAATTGCGGATAGAGAATTTAATGCCTGTGATGCGGATGAAAATTATAAGCCAATGCCTAGTTCTTCGGCATCAGCATGGCCAGAAGATAAACCTCTTGTTGAAGATGTCAACATGAATGCCTTCTGTGATGAATTAGCTCATGCTTTGTTTTATGGAGTGTAATTTTTTTGTTTAGCTTGATTGAGGACTTGTAAGTTTGAGTGACACATCTCATATGTATGAAAAGTACATTTATTGTTAATCTAACCTTTACATCCAAACACCTCTTGGGTTAGAGTTAGTTCAGGGCTAGTTTAAAGTTAGAAACTAGCTCTAACCTCTAACCGAGCTAGAGTATCCAAACAGGGCCAGTGTATGGGAAAGAAATCAGTGTATACCATATATACTCCGTATCTTGGTGACTATATCCCGTTTCAGTTCCCTGTCTATGACGCCAAAGCCAAAGGCCAAGGGCCAGTGGTACCAAACTGCCTAATCCCCTGCTCTTGTTCTACCGGCTACCTGAGGAATGGGGCATTAGATTCATTTGCAAATCCTTCCAACGAGAAACATACAAATTTGAACATGTGAACCCACGGTTTACACACCATTACCACTCGGCGTAACAGCACAGTTAAAACTTAAAAACCATGTCACAAACCATCTAACACTACCAACAGATCTACGATACTCGGTAAAAGCTTGGCTTTCTCCCACTTCGTTTATGTTTGTTATATGGCTCATAGCTACCTTACAGTCTACAGAGTACATAATAATACTACGGAAACTCGTAACACTCAACCCTCCAAAGCCGCTCAGACATGTATATGTACAACAAAACTGAGATAGCGAGCATGAGTTGCTACTCCAACAGCACGATCTCGCCATAACAGACAGCCAAGCTGCACAAAAAATGGGGGCTGCGAGGCTTCCTCCTTCATAAAGATTATCGATTGCCATCCAATGTCATGAACTCATCAGCATACATATAAGAGACTGGTTTTCTCTCATTGTCTTGCAGAGAACTCATTCTTGAGTCCAAAACTGCCAGCTGAGATATGACCCAGTTGGGGTTGTTCCTCCCATCAACCCATAGTGCTTCACCAGTGTGCTTATGCTTGAAGTCTGGATACCTTGGGTTCTTCTGTTGACATGATTTAAGGTCATAAGTCAAGCAAATGTTGAGCAGACCTCTTCCAAACAAATTGATTGACAAATTACTGAAGTAAATAAACAAATACATCAACCAAACAACATGATCCTTCTGAAAGGTATATTATAAAGCAAAGTCAAAGTAGCTTCTACTGGAGACGATTCAGTTTAAAATATGGACCAAATTAGTCACTGTCCATTCATTGCATTTATTTATTATTTGCTTGACACATGACAGCATATTTGGTGTACATGAATACAAGAAAAATGTTTAAGAAAAACATGTAAACATTGAATGTTAGCATAGAAGTGTTATGTGCTGATAACAGGTCTTGAACTCTTGTCGCCAGATTGAATGTAATTTTATATTTGTACTATATTTCTTTATAAATTCAGGACGATGGACATGTGATTGTTTTTAATTCTGCATGGCATATAGCAATGTGATTAAACCGACTAAATTCAATTGCATGACACAAGCAGTACAGTACTACAGCCACTATACTTATGTTGATTAAGCTAGATATTTTATTTCCACTGTTCTAAATTAGAGACTTTAGTGCAGTCTCTTCTGGTTAAATTGGAAGGAAATAAGGGTAGGTTCCAAAGTCAGAAGATAACTCCAACATACAAAATGCAGAACCCTTCTAGTACACTAGTCTTAAATTTGAAGTAAGAAGTGCAGAACTTAAGCATTAAATCAATACAAAAAAAATATATCTTTCATAACCGCATTTGGCTGTTTATTATTTCCATCTCAATATTCACCCACTCTACTGACCATGTATCCCTCTCCCTCAGTAAATATTTGAAGCTCTTTTCTTGGTTCTAGATTTCTCATGTGTTCTCTGTATATTTTTTAATGTTTGCAAATTAGCATACGCTCAAAAAGAAGGTTTAAGTTATTAACATGCACAGTAACTGTTACCATGTAAATGACAAGTAGTTATAACTTTAAACAATCCCAGTCTAACCTTATTTGTCCTGTTATCCCACCAGTCAAGAGGGTTAGCAAAGAACGCTTGCCACAGCTCTTCAGTTGATCGAGAAGAGCTCATAGTATCCCTATTCTTATCCTCAGTTGAATTAGAGGTAGAGTTAAAATAATCAGCACGCCTTCCACCTTTGAATCAACAAAAAAGGAGAGTTAATTTTTACCTTTTATGAATTTTCATTACATTAATAAACAGCTACCTAGAACCAAGTTATGTGCATCATTGGCTAATAATTTCATGAACTTTGCCATCCAAAAAAAATCATGAACTGAAGAAAGTCCGCTAAATCAGACAACTGCTTCTGCAAGAGTACTCAAGAATGATGCAGGTAAGAGTCCTTTTCTGCGCCTTTCTAGAGACAACTACCTACCTTGCACCCAGAAAAACAAAATTTGAAACTTTGGCAAACTTTTTGAGAAGCATGCTGTTTAATGGGATCAATCATGAGCGATGTTTACTTTCACATACTTATAAACGAGGGGGCATAGTAGCAAGGTTAACAGCATATCACATTATATATTACAGGAAAATTAGTAATCCTGATAATAAAAAGAAACTTTGGATATACAACTTAAAATGCAATAACCAACAGCCAGGCAAAAAGTAATTCACATGTTAACGATTGATATATTTAACACAAAACAGAATATATAAGGTCAAGTTTGGTTCATGCCCTTGCAATTTAGTTTCTGTTGGGAGTACCACCGAACATTGGCAAGCCAGTGGAAAGTTAGCTCTCCCATTGATTCCTAGCCAAAACATTCACAGAGTTCTGGATACAGGAAACACTTGCCCAGAAGCTTTCAATCCAACTTACCTTGATTCTCACTGCATTTATTTTCTCTACTGCTCAGTTGCAGCTAACTAGGGCCATTACATACTACTAGCACCAAAGTTCAAGAAGGCGCTAGGCGGTTTCAAGGCGACGACCCACGGCCTAGAACCTAGGTAGGCGTTTCAAGGCGTTTTTCTAGGCGATGGATAATACATGCATAAATACTTAAAAGAAAAGAAAAAATAGGAGTCCAGTGGTCATGGAATAGGGAGAAAGAGAAGAAGGCCCATTTAACGGCCCAACTATCCCACGTTCCAGCCTCTCCCGCATCTCTCTGTCGCTCTCGCTCGCATCTCTCTCTCTCGCCCGCATGGCCGCATCCCTGTCTGCGCCTGCAGCTGCCCGTTCCTCTCCCTCTCCCACAGCTCTCTCTCAGTCCGAGCCTGCCGCTGCAGGTTCCTCTCCCTCTCCCGCATCTCTGTCCGCGCCCGTCACCACCCGCGCCTGGCGTCCGACTCTGCCCGAGGCTGCTCCTCCCCCACCGGCGACCTCAGCCCGCCTAGGGGTCCGCCTACCCCCATAGGCCAGGCGGAACCCCCTCGCCTAGCGTCACCTTTTTGAACCGTGACTAGCACGATTTTTCGCATGTACAAACAGTGGATGCAAGTGATACACACCAGTCTAAGGACTTGCATAAGCTATATTTCATTACTTTAAGCTTCAAACTAATCGATCATGGATGCAATTAGGAGTCCACTGTAATTAATAGATAATTAAAAGCACATATCAAATATAAATCAAACACAAGCAATCAAGAAGTTGGCAAATCTAAAAACAAAGATTGAGCATGAACCAAATAGTAGCCTAAGAATGTTCCAAAATAATTGGCAGCAGTCCAAATGACTCTATTGATGTTTAAAAAAGTGGAACATGTCATCACAGGTCACAGACAACTATATCTCACAAAAATATAGGCAGACAAGAATGGAAAAGGCAGCAATTTTATGATATAAAAAGGCTTCACAGCATAACTGAGATCCACACCTGGGGCATCCTGGCTTGCCTCTGGTTCATATAATCGAACTGGCTGGGACTCGATGAAATTCAACTGTTGAACTGCAAGCTGAGAAAGAGTGTACCCATTAATTCCATTATAATCACAGAAAAGAGGGATAATGAAAATAAGCATGTAATGCAACCAGGTGAAGATGATACCTTGTAGTAAACATGCCGCTTCTCAGGCCCCTCATCAACAGTATCTGACACAAGCCGTCCAGAAACAAATATCCGGTCACCCTTCTTAACATGCTCAGAGGCCACAATAGCCAGATCATCCCAGAATTGTAGAGTTACCCTATAGTACAGTGACCCCATTAAACACTTAAACAAGTACTGCTAAGACTGTATTTTTCAGCTAAAAAAATACTCATCATTTATGGCTCTGAGAGGATGTAAAAGGCAGTATTATGTACCTGCATAGCTAAAAATATGTATATCAACAACTCATGCAGTCACGCTTGGGCTTGGTTGGCTCTTAAGAGTTAACTTTTGGTGTGTGGGTGTGCGCGCACAAATAAGGCAGTGTTAATTATTGATGGAGAGCCTCAGGAATCAGAACTCAATCTAATGCTTAATCTGTTAATACAATAGGTATTCAGAAATCGAAACTCATTTGTTTATCATCATAGTACAATCAAGGTTTCAAAGGTGACTAGGCATCCAGGCGAGAGCGAACACTGTTTCAAAATAAAGTCCCTATTTAACTAAGGGTGTAACTCAATCGCATAAAGAATTGTTACACAATTTCATTAGCATTTTCTGACCTCGCTGTATAAGCTGCAAAACAATTTGGCACAACTACACTGTTCGGAAACAAACCCCAAATCCATGGTATATCAACAATCATCTTGCTAGTTGCTACAATCCACCAATTGCACAAACTGCTCTAGCCAACATATCACCGAATGCCTTTGCCAACCTCTCCAAATTCCACGCACGCCCCCACACTCACAAAGCTACAAGCCTACTTCGAGTGATCGACAACTACAGATAGTCGAACCCACTTCCGGCCCCCAATAATAGGGACATAAATAGGCGACGCTAGAAATGGAAGAAGAATTAGCATTGCGTAGCACTAATCAAATCAGTAATACCATGTAGTCTCGGTGGCCGACTTCCATACGGCGAGGCGACCCCTCGCAACGGCAGAGCCGCTGGGCAGCTGCCGCAGCTCGACGTCGGTGCCCACAGTCCCAATGAGCCGCACCGAGTTGCAGAGCTCCTTGCTCCAGGGTATCTCCGCCGGCCGCGGCGTCGTTGTCGACGTGGGCGGCGCCGCCGCCTCACTGTACTGCGCGGAGCACCGAAGGCGGCGCCATCGTGGCACCGGGAGCGGAAGGCGGAGGAGGGAAGAGGAGAGGCGGATGCGGCTGTGGTCCGCCGGGCTAGGGTTTAGGGTTTTGAGCGGAGACGCAACGGCGAGGATAGCCATGGGGATATTTTCTCGGTTTTCGCCTCTCTCTTCCGGAGATTGGGGGGGCGTTGCGAGCTTATTTCGGGGTGTGGCCGCGTGAGTCCTTTTTCACCCGGAACCTGCCAAGGCGGTCATCGGCACGCGGGTCCCACGAGCTGCCGTTGTGGCTGTCATGCGGCGCCATATAACATGTGCCTGTTTAGTTCTCAAAATTTTACAAAATTTTTCAAGATTTTCTGTCATATCGAATCTTTGACGTATGCATGAAGTATTAAATATAAATAAAAAATAAAACTAATTACACAGTTTAGACGAAATTCACGAGACGAATCTTTTAAACCTAATTAGAGATTAGACACTAATTACCAAATAACAACAAAAGTGCTACAGTACCATTTTAAAAAAAATTCGCCAACTAAAAAAGACACCATTTTAAAAAAAATTCGCCAACTAAAAAAGGCCCAGGTTCTTCAGTTCTTCACGCTGCACTCTTCTTGCTGCCTGCTCCCTCACTCTCAATTTTCCTGATAAGACTCCACTTCTCGCTCGTTACCCGAGATAAAAACAACCATCTTCGATTTGCCTATTTTTTTAAAAATAGTATTCATAATTTATAATAAAAATCTATTGTTATAGTATATTCATTTGGACTCAAAATTTCTGAATTTAGTTTTTATAGAAATAGTCCAACTTAAAATAGTTTAGTTTAAATCGGATCTAGAAATACACTCTTTTTAAAGACAGACGAGGCTGGCTTAGTTGCTTTCAGTATTTCATCTCACACCATGCTACTGCTTGACTGGAATAACTAATGAGTAATGCTCAAGATAACAGCTTCGTAATTTAACACAGCAAGGTGCAAACTACAAACAATATCGCTAAAAACTACAAACAATATCGCTACAATGGTCTGAAACCCCGAGGTGGTCAAAATAAAAGGACAGGAATTTGATGCTAACTCCAGAAGCCCACAATACAGTTTTACATAGGGATCCTCACGTGCTCTCCTTGCTGCTTGATGCCTCAAGCCCCTTCTTCTCCCCGCCACTTACCACCGCGGGGGTCGCAGATGGGGGTTGATCTTCGCCTTCCCCAGGCTCTTTCTTCAGTTCAGATTCAAACTCCTTAGCCGCCTGAGAGAGAAGTTAGATGGATCACTGAACAATTTTACTGAATGGAAAAGGATATAATAACCTGATCAGAAAACTTGATCAGTAGCTTGTCTTCAGAAAACAGAGCACAAAGCATGCACCCAACCAGCTTTTCAATTAGTATAATGGTGCATGCTAAGGTGAATCAGTCCCATCAAATTCTTGGACAAGTGAGGCCAAAAGGAAGCAGGCCGTTCTTCTAAGTAATGAAGTTTAAACTAATGGTAATGTGGCATGTGGGTGACATAGCTCTAGTCATTGCACATATCATAATCTGCAGCATTTTTGAGAGGTTATACAACTCTAAATAGACAAGAATAGGTAACAGTCATAACACCCTATCAGCTCCATGTCAAACAACTACTCCCTCCCGTCAGGATAAGATGACGCTTCCAACAGCAAGACAAAACTAATTGCATATCATTTTGATTGCCCAAAACGTCACCTAAATCCAACTGGAGGTAGTACTAAATTGGAAGATATGTCCTACCTCCCATTGCAGTTCAGAAAGAATGAGGTGCAGAAATTCCCATCACTCCAATCTTACAACCCTGAACCCACACCACTTGTCACACTGTTTTAAAAAAACTAACTAACTCTTTAAGTCAAAATGGGAAAGCAATGTGGCCATATTTCCTACCATTGGCATTATCCCACTAAACATTCAACAACACAACTGAGCCAAAATGCAAATTTGCAATGAATGTGCTATATTAGGTCACTATATTCATAAGCCACAGGGTTCCTAAACTAAACATTATTATCTACTCCCTCCATTCCAAATTATAAGACGTTTTAGTTTTTCTAGATACATAACTTTTGTTGTACACTTAGATATACATTATGTTTAAATGCATAGTAAAAACAATATATATAGAAAAGCCAAAACGTCCAATAATTTGGAATGGATGGAGTACCGAAATCCTCAAAGTTGCAACCAAACCTTATTTTTAAATGGTCAATTGAGGGGAAAGGGTACTTTCTCCACCTGAATTTTCATTGCATAGGAGTGGGTACCGAACAGTACCACTTCGGAAGAGTTACAGATCAGGCGATCAGGAAAGAGTTCCAACCAAACCTAAAAGTGCTACCAAAGCACTGCCTTACAGATTGGTACTACGAAGACGACCTAAGCTTTAGCACCTCGAGCAAAATGGGGTCACTAGTTTCCGAAGCTGCTATCTACCAGTCAAACTATTGTCAATACGACACACGCATCATCCCCCACAAATCGCGAGCTTCTACTGACCACGCCATGAGAATTTATGCCCCCACCCTCACCTGCTGGAAGCTCTTGACGGTCTTTCCGATGCTGCGGCCGATCTCGGGGAGCTGCTTGGGCCCGAACACGAGCGCGGCGACGCCGGCGATGACGGCGAGCTCCGGCACCCCGAGCCCGAAGAGGCACTTGCACCCGAGCGCGCCGCCTCCCCCGGAGCCCGCCCCGCTCCTGGGCCGCGCGGCTACCGACGCGGCCACCGCCGCGAGCCCGCCGCCTCCGCCGCCCCCGACGAAAGAGGACGCCCTGGAGGACATCCCGGCCGCCGCGACGTGCGCGCGGCTCGCCGCCCTCGCGGCCCTTGGCGGCGCGGCGAGGGAGGAGGAGGAGGAGCATGAGTAGGCCGCCGCGACGGGAGCCACCACGGCTATCCCCATGGCTGCTGCCGCTGCTACTGCTCGGAGTGGGAGGGGGAGGTTGGGGTCACGCGGATATTTTTGTGTGAGAAGATGGATAGCGTTCTATGGTGACGGACGAACGAGCGCTGTTCTGACTTCTGACAGGCTCCCGTGTGCCGTGCAACTCGTGTAACACGGTGCCATTTTGTTGCCCGTTGCCGTTGGATGCAAAGTGGGCCGACGAGACCCAGGGTGTGTTTGAGCCGGCCCATATTGAATTGCACCAGTTGGGCGTCATGGGCCAAGATGTATCGCTAATCCAACAAGGTGGGTGCTTTTCCACTCAAAAAAAAACAAGGTGGGTGCTTCGGGATTGGACTGTCTAATTGAACTTTGGGCCTATTTGTCTTTGCATATCTTTCGTTGAGTACTTTTCAAGATTCCTTTGCGTTGTGTGCGCTACAAGAACTTAATTGCTAGAAGTTTGTCATTTACCTCTCTCTTTTTTTCTCACACACAAAATGGGATACATAAGATGAAGAAGCGTGTTCATTTCTAGCTACTTTTTAGCACCTTGACTGATTGATTCGCACTCTGAGTCCACTGATCAGATTCCAGAACATGCATGTACAACTGTACATCTCTGATTGCGACCACTTGCTTGATCTTGCCCTTTGCCCTTTGTTTGTTTGGCACTAGGGGAGGGGAGGAGAACCTTTTCTACTTCATGTCCAATACTAATCCAGTACATGATGGCAGCAAGACAACAACAAAGTTCTGCACTAATACAGGGGATGTCTTGCGTTGCTTGACAGTAAGAAACGGGACCTCCTCAATCCACAGAGTTGGTTAAAGTTGTACTAGTTGGAGAGGCTTCTCCGGGTCAGACTTCTTGGTCAGCTAGCGGCACATGTAGCTTATTCGCGAGTTGGTTTTAGTCAGGACTTATCAGTTAGTTAATAGTGTTTTTCTCTCACAACAAATCTGTTGGATATAATATGGGCTTGGCCCATATAATATTTAATAAATCAAATAAAATTCTATGGTACGCAACATTAAGTGTTGTGTGGTTTAATACCATACGGGATTTTGACTGAACGTTGACTCAGCTTATATGGTTGAATATTATTCATCTATATTGAGAAGCTGAGAAAATGATAAAGGCGTGCCACGCACGCGCGCCGCCGCCGGCCGGGCCGTGGCCATGGGCGTGGGCGTGACCGTGGCGAGGCAGGCGGGCGTGGCCAGTCTTTTCCCACTTAATCCGCATAATCAAAGGGAATAAACGAACTGATTGCGTCAGTTACCGTCTTTTTCGCTTCCGTTTCTCCGTCTCCTGGGATTTTTCGCAGCCTCTCTCCCTTCCGGTCGCAGCCATATATCCGCAGTCCTTCGTCAGTCCAGATCCCCGTCTTCCGCAACCACTCCCGAGAAAAACCACATCTCAGCGGCCTTCTGTCTTCCTCGTCCCGTACCTCTGCGCGCACAGAGCAGCGGGAGAGCAGGTGCCTTCGGAACCCTCGCCCGCTTGAGAATCTTGCACGGGATGTGCGACAATTAGGTTTTTGGGGAGCGATCCGTGACTGCTTGTCCACGTACGTCTTCTTTCTGGTGGTGATCACTCTTAGATTTCGTCCTCTTCCTGGTGATTGCCTGCGGAACATCAAAGCGTCTTCTTCCTGGTGATCCGTTCGTGGGACTACACTGCGAACATCGTCCTGCACCCACTGTGGTCCGCGATTTCGAGCAACGCACTATGTCGACTAGTGCGAATAGAGCATCCGATGCCCTCGGCATAGGACCCTCCGCTGGGTACAGTCTAATCTTTCTGATACTGTAATATGCGCTTTTACCGTATTCATCTGTATGTCATCTCTGCATACTGTAGCGTTCGTTAGAAATATACACATGCACATATATGCCGTCACGAACCTGCTGATGTTATATTTCTGGATTAAACTGATAATGAAAATGCCTAAATTTCTAACATTCAAAAAACCTAATGTTAGGCAATTTTCTGTCAGTCGTTTTGCTGCTGCTTTGAAGCCAAATAATTTTGATGGCAAGAATTTTATGATATGTCGTGCCAAGATGGTATTGTGGTTGACTGCGATGAACTGCTATCACGCCGCACAGGGGAAGCCTGAACAGTTTACTCCTAAGGAGGAGAAAAAGTTCTTGGCTGCCGATAACCTGTTTTGAGGCGCCGTGATCAGTGCACTTCATCCCAAGTATGAGAAAAACTATATATCTTGCGCATCAGGCAAAGAGTTATGGGATGCTCTTGAGGCAAAGTTTGAAGTTTCTGATGCTGGCAGTGAGCTGTACCTTATGGAGCAGCTGTATGACTACAAAATGGTTGAAAACCGTTCTGTAGTCGAACAGGCTCATGAGATACTGGCGCTAGCAAAGGAACTAGAACATTTCTCATGTTTGTTGCCCGACAAGTTTGTGGCCGGTGGTATAATCACTAAGTTGCCACCTTTTTGAAGGGATTTTGCTACTTCTCTAAAACACAAGAGACAAGAGTTTAGCGTGGCTGAGCTTATTGGATCTCTTGATGTTGAGGAGAGGGCGAGAGCAAAAGACAACCATGGGAAAGGAGTTCAGTCTTCCGCTGCCAATATGGTGCAGAAGAAAAACTCATTTGCATCTCGTAATAAAAAGAAGAAGAACATGCAAGAGAACAACAATGCAAAGCCTAAGCAAACTACACAATTCAAGAAAAACAACAAGAAAGGTAGAGGTTGCTTTGTTTGCGGGAGTGATGAGCATTGGGCAAGTGCGTGCCCAGACCGCAAATATAAGTAAGAAAAGAAATCAGCAAACGTGGTCATTAGCGAGACTGGAGGAGGAACATCTGGGTATGGTAATTCTTTACTCTTTGTTCTCTCAGTTTGTCTTTCACTTGAGTGGTGGATGGACAGCGGTGCTAATATTCATGTGTGTGTTGATGTTTCTTTGTTTACTTCCTATCAGGCCGGCAGGACTGGGGCCTTGCTGATGGGAAATGGTTCGCATGCGCGTGTTCTTGGTGTTGGTATGGTCATTCTAAAGTTTACTTAGAGAAAGACGGTGCTATTAAAGAACGTGCAGCATGTCCCCTCCATCAAAAAGAATCTTGTTAGCGCTTCTCAGATGTGTCGCGATGGCTTTAAAATTGTGCTTGAGTCCAATAAATGTGTTGTGTCGAGCATGGAACATTTGTTGGAAAAGGTTATGATTGCAGAGGCTTGTTCCGCTTATCTTTGCTTGATGATGTGTGTAATAAAGTGGTGAACAATGTTAATGTTTCGGATGAGTCGAATATTTGGCATTTACGACTTTGTCACTTAATTTTGGCTGTCTCACACAGCTTGCAAATCTGAATTTAATCCTGAAATTTAACTTAGTCAAAGATTCTAAGTGCCAGGTGTGTGTGCAATCGAAGCAACCGCGCAAGCCTCACAAGGTTGCTAAGGCGAGGAACTTGGCACCAATAGAACTCGTTTATTCTGATTTATGTGAAATGAATGGCGAATTGACTAAAGGCGGTAGACGATACTTCATGACATTTATAGATGATTGCACTAAATTTTGCTACGTGTATTTATTGAAAACTAAAGATAAAGTGTTGCATTATTTTAAAGTCTATAAAGCTGAGGTAGAAAATCAACTTGAGAAGAAAATCAAGCATTTGCGGTCCGACCATGAGGGAGAATATTTCTCAAATGAATTTTCTGAGTTTTGCGCGGTGTATGAAATTATTCATGAGATGACGCCACCATACTCACTACAGTCCAATAAGATTATAGAGAGAAAGAACCGCACTCTAATTGATTTGGTTAATGCCATGTTAGAGACTGTGGGACTATCTAAGGAATGGTGGGGTGAGGCTATATTGACAGCATGTCATGTCCTGAATAGAGTGCCTACAAAGAATAAAAAAATTACACCATTCGAGAAATGGGAGAAGAAGAGATTAAATCTCTCTTACCTACGAACTTGGGGTTGTTTGGCAAAGGTGAATGTGCCAATAAACAAAAAAAAATAAAAGCTTGGACCTAAGACTGTTGATTGTGTCTTTCTTGGTTATGCTATTCACAGCATGGGTTATAGATTTTTAATCATAAACTCTAGTGTTCCTGAGATGGCTGTTGATACAATCATGGAATCTAGAGACGTTACATTTATTGAGAATGAGTTTCCCATGAAAAATGCATCTAGCACGACTAGTCATGAATTTATAATTCCCCATGAGCATGAAAATTTTACTCCGATAGAACAAACCAAGGAACCCTATATGCAAAATCCTAAGGAGGAAGACACTATAGTCACCAGGAAAAGTAAGAGACAGAGGACTGCAAAGTCTTTTGGCGATGACTATATTGTGTACCTTGTGGATGACACACCAACGATCATTAAAGAGGCATATTCATCTCCTGATGCTGACTTATGCAAGGAAGCAGTACGAAGTGAGATGGATTCTATTATGTCTAGTGGAACTTGGGAAATTGTTGATCGTCCCTATGGGTGCAAGCCTATAGGGTGCAAATGGGTGTTCAAGAAAAAGCTTAGGCCTGATGGTACTATCGAGAGGTATAAGGTAAGACTTGTGGCCAAAGGCTATACTCAAAAGGAAGGTGAGGATTTCTTTGATACTTATTCACCGGTTGCCCGATTGACCATAATTCGAGTTTTGCTTTTTCTGGCAGCCTCTTATGGTCTTATCGTTCATCAAATGGACGTTAAGATAGCTTTCCTAAATGAAGAGTCAGAGGAGGAGATCTATATGGATCAGCCGGGTGGGTTTGTAGCAAATAGTCAAGAAGGTAAGGTGTGTAAATTATTGAAGTCATTATATGGCCTGAAACAAGCTCCCAAGCAGTGGCATGAGAAGTTCGACAGAACTTTGACATCTGCTGGCTTTGTCGGGAATGAAGCTGATAAATGTGTGTACTATCGGTATGGTGAGGGTGAAGAAGTCATTTTGTGCTTATATGTTGATGACATACTGATCTTTGGATTCAGCCTCAAAGTGATCGAGGAGGTAAATGAATTTTTAACTAATAATTTTGAGACGAAAGATTTGGGAGAGGTTGATGTTATTCTTAATATCAAGCTTCTGATAGAAGGTGATGGTGGGGTAACTCTGTTACAATCCCACTATGTGGAAAAGGTGCTGAGTCGTTTTAGGTTTAGTGACTGTGCACCTGCTCCTACACCTTATGACCCTAGTGTGCTATTGAGAAAAAATCGGAGAATACCAAGGAATCAGTTGAGATATTCCTAGATCATTGGTTCGCTCATGCATCTTGCTAGTGCAACAAGGCCTGTCATCTCTTTTGCTATGTGCAAGCTGAGCCGGTTTGTGTCAAATCCGGGAGATGATCACTGGCGTGCTCTTGAGAGAGTAATGCGCTATCGAAAAGGCACTATGAGCTACAGTATTCGTTATACCGGACATCCAAAAGTGTTGGAAGGCCATTGTGATGTCAACTGGATCTCTGATGCTGATGAGCTTTATGTCACAAGTGGATATGTGTTTTCGCTTGGAGGTGGCGCTATTTCCTGGAAGTCTTGCAAGCAGACTATCTTAACGAAGTCTACAATGGAAGCAGAACTCACAGCATTAGACACTGCTGGCTCTGAGGCCGAGTGGCTTCGCGATCTCCTTATGGATTTACCGGTTGTTGAAAAACACATACCGGCTATTTCTATGAACTGCGATAACCAGACTATGATTACAAAGGTTAACAGTTCTAAGGATAACATGAAGTCCACAAGGCATGTTAAGAGACGATTAAAATCTGTCAGAAAATTAAGAAACTCTGGAGTAATAGCGTTGGACTATGTTCACATGTCTAACAATCTGGCAGATCAGTTCACTAAGGATCTGTCACGTAATATGATAGAAAGTGCATCGAGAGAGATGGGTTTGAGACCCACTTGAAATTTACTATAGTGGTAATCTGTTCTATGTGATCGGAGATCCCGTGAAGTAGAATGGTGAAACAAGCTAGTAGTAAATTATGAGAAAAGATCCTTAGTAAGACTCATTTCTGATGCACATCTTTCCTATCTGTAAGGCAGATTGGTTTTTACCTTAATGTGTTCCAAGCGGATTGCTAAAGCAAAGATGTTGTCCTATAGAACATCTTTTGAGGAGCACACCTGTATGAGTCAGGCTGCTGGTCACAGTCTATGAAATTAGGGTGATCTCTAAATACTTATGAAAGGCACTAGAGTATGACTTATATACTTCAAATAGAGGGGATGTCTTTTGCAGCCAAGTATCAGCTAAGGACTTTAGTGACATTCACCTCACACAAAACTGGCAATTCAAGGCCTAGTCCATTGTTTAGTTGTGACTGAGTGAAACTACTGCTCTAGATGGATGTTCAACTTAACAGTCTCCATCGAAACACTGGTATATCAAAGAAATGTGATTCTGAGACTACTTTGTTACAAACCCTAGAGTTTGGTGGGGATTGTTGGATATAATATGGGTCTGGCCCATATAATATTTAATAAATCAAATAAAACTCTATGGTGCGTAACATTAAGTGTTGTATGGTCTAATACCATACGGGATTTTGACTAAACGTAGACTCAGCTTATATGGTTGGAAATTATTCATCTATATTGAGAAGCTAGGAAAAGAATAAAGGCGTGCCACACGCACGTGCGCCGTCGCCGGCGCCGGCCGGGCCGGGTCGTGGGCGTGGCCGTGGGCATGGGCGTGGTCGTGCCGTGCCGTGCCGTGGCGAGGCAGGCGGGCGGCGAGCGGGCGGGCGTGGCCAGTCTTTTGCCACTTAATCTACATAATCACGGGAGTTACTCCCTTTGATGGTGGAGACGAACTGATTACGTCAGTTACCGTCCTTTCCGCTTCCATTTCTCCGTCTCCTGTGATTCTCCGCTGCCTCTCTCTTCCAGTCGCAGCCATATATCCGCAGGCCTCCGTCAGTCCAGATCCCCGTCTTCCGCAACCGCTCCCTAGAAAAACCACATCTCAGCAGCCTTCTGGCTTCCCCGTCTCGTACCTTTGCGCGCACGGAGCAGCGGGAGAGCAGGTGCCTGCGGAACCCTGGCCCGCTTGAGAACCTTGCACGGGGTATGCGGCGATTAGGTTTTTGGGGAGCGATCCGTGACTACTTCGTCCACGTACGTCTTCTTCCTGGTGGTGATCAGTCTTAGATTCCGTCCTCTTCCTAGTGATTGCCTGCGAAACATCAAGGCGTCTTCTTCCTGGTGATCCGTTCGTAGGACTGCACTGCGAACATCATCCTGCTCCGACTGTGGTCCGCGACTTCGAGCAACGCACTATGTCGACTAGTGCGAATGGAGCTTCCGATGCCCTCGGCATGGGACCCTCCGCTGGGTACAGTCTAATCTTTCTGATTACTGTAATATGCGTTTTTACCGTATTCATCTGTATGTCATCTTTGTATGCTGTAGCGTTCGTTAGAAATATACATATGCACATATATGCCGTCACGAACCTGCTGATGTTATATTTCTGGATTAAACTGATAATGAAAATGCCTAAATTTCTAATAAAACCAGAACCAGCCGAGCTTATCAGCCCAGAAACCAATCAGCGAATAGACCGATGCTTATCAGCTGCTTTCAGGAATATTCTTCCCAATAGTATGCATGCAGCAATGCCCTCGTGCGTATATGAAGATTCATGCATGCTTAGCCGGCCTCGTCGTTTATTTAGCTTAACGAAGGGCGGCGAGTAGTACACTAATCGTATTTCTGGTGGCCACTTAACTTAGGCTGACGACATGGCTGAAGAGCTGGTGAGATCAAGGCGAACAAGAACTCTTGTTTCTCTTCTGGTCTGTTAATTATGATGATGTCTCTGAATTGAAAACTGGTTTCTTGTGGAACAGATGGCCTGACCAAAAGATCGCCATGCTTTCCTTGCCACCGGAGCTTCTTCCTCTTGAATCTATGGCCAAACCCGGCGTTTTAGCTAGGGCATCTAGTCAAACCAACCTCCAATACATGCTCAATTCACTTTCACCACTTTACAGGCTGATGAGGACATCAGAAGTGAAGAAATTGTATAGCTGCCGAGCGCTCAACTTGTTCATAGAGAAGTAATTAACTATCCAGCACAAGGATACAAGCTACTCGCATAATGAGTCCATGGGCATGTTCGTTGGTTGGTGCTGGTGCTGGTTTGGGCTGGCTGGTGCTAGTTTTTTTTAGAGAAAAACATTGTTGGCTGGCTGGTTTGAGTTGGCTGAAACCAACAAACGAACAGGCTGCATCTTGTTTTGTTCGTTTCCCTGGTCGACAACGCGTCCATGTCAGGATCATCCCTCCTTTTCCTCCTCCGAGTTCTTACCCATTCTCGCTTTCGTCATCTAGGTCTTGTTTAGATCACCTCAAATTCTAAGTTTTTTCACTTTCTTCATCACATCAATTTTTGGACGCATGTATGGAGCATTAAATGTAGATAAAAAAATAACTAATTACACAGTTTGGTTGTAAATCACGAGATGGATCTTTTGAGCCTAGTTAATCCATGATCAGACAAAGTTTGTCAAATACAAACGAAACATGCTACAGTGTCCGAGTTACAAAAATTTACAATCTAAACAAGGCCCTAGCACACATCCACTAGCTACCCTAGCTACCTAGTAGCAGGCCACAACTTGCAATTGCCTTGCCTGCCGATACTGCTACTTGAAATAACAGTTCAGTCGTCAGCATGCATCTGGCAAATTCGAAGTGCCTGATGAACGAGTTCCGCATGCCTTGTGTTTGTGTCCATCTGTATTGGAGGTTGGTTTCCACGGAGTTCTATTGACACACGTCAAGAGCTTGGTGCTGGCGCCCAGAAGTCACTGAAGATGATGTGATCGATCCCCGTTTTAAATTCTCCATTCGCCTTCCATTTGATCACGCACTCATTTCTGTCACTCAGCCCCTTGTGTTGGAGTGCATTGCCTGTAAACCGACTACGACTTGCACCAACGAGTTTTCGCTGTATGTTACCCGGTGTATCTGTCAACCTTTTGCGCTATGGTTCTTCGTTAACCATAATTTGGATGGCATATATAATATTCTTCAGGAGATTAAAGCAGGTGAGATGAGATCGACTTGGACAGCACCTTGAACAGTTGAACCTTAATCGGGTGGACTGAAACGGTTGGCTGTATATAGAGGATTTGCCACCCCGATAGCTAAATCATGGGAGGAGAGTATGTATGTTTCTGCCACCCCGGCCCATATAGACAAGAAAGAATTGACTTGATAGCCAAATCGTGGGAGGAGAGTATCATCCTGTTCGCTTGTCTCATGAGTCGTACTATTTCAGTGAAGGAATAGTATTTTTCTCTCACAATAAATCAGCGAACAGTACTTTCAGTCATGTCTTTTCAGCGAAGCCAGGGCTATGTATGTTTCTTCCTACTAGCTGCGGCTGGGTGGGTGCAGCTGCATTTGGACGGCGTTGCTGCGGTTTGGCAGCCGCTGTCAGGGAAGACCACGAGTCCGTCACAATGGGAATGTGCAGTCAAGTTTGGAGAGCTCCATTCGATTGGACTAGGAAACTGTACGTTTTGGTATTGCAGTCGGTTCAAGCCAAAGCTCATTTTGGTGACTGCAGGTGCGTGCTGGGTATACCTGGAATCCAACTACTCTTTCCTCTGAAATCCTAGCAAAATCCTTGTGGAATTCCTGCGCTGCAAGCATGCTCTTGGTAAACTGCGTGAAGACCTGAATGGAGTGTCGTTTAGAGACCGTGAATCAGTCACTAGCTTCAAAACTTGAAGAATAATCGCACAAGTTCTAGTACTAATTTGACAAGAACAAATCATCCCAAACATCACACATGCATTTGATTGAAACTACCAATCTAGTTAATCTCCAACATCACACACTACAGTGCGTCCTAACCAACTAATTTTACGTACATGATGATACGCACTTACTATACGACTATACATACACTTCCCTCTCCTGCACGAAAGGATTCTGATCCTGCTCGATCGCATTTCCTCTTGCGAGCAAATCAACCTTCTTCGCACACGTGCCATGCTGTCACCACGTCGCCCAGCTCCACCCGGAGCTCCTCCCACCCGAACGCCTCGGCCTCGTCGCCGTCGCCGTCGCCGCCCTCCAGCCTCAGCTCCACTAGCATCAGCTCCGGCGACACCTCCGACATCTCCATCGACATGGCCACGAGACCCGACAGGCCGCCCAGCGGCAGGCGCTCCACTCCCTTCTTCCCCACCATGAAGTAGCCGAGCTTGGCGCCAGCCTGCCCGAGCCGCTCCACCGTCTGCTCGGGGGACGCCGTCGTCATGAACCGCTTCTCGCGGCTGCGCCTGCTCTCGCGGAACAGCCCCGACAGGTCGAGCCCGGGGGACATGGAAATGATGTCGAAGGCGTTCAGCGCCGGCGGGGCCTGGAACGCCAGCTCGCGCTCCGCCTGGCCGCCCAGCAGGCCCCCGAGTTGGGAGTCCACGCTGAGCGAGCGCTTGAACCAGGGGTGGCTGGCCAGCTCCGCGACGGCGAGGCGCGTCGCCGGGTTCGGGTCCAGCAGGCGCGCCACGAGGCGGCGCGCCGGCTGCGACACCCACCGTGGCACGGTGTACTCCCGGCGGTGCGCCTTGCGGCACATGTCGGCGATGTTGGCGTCGTCAAAGGGGAGGTGGCCCGCGAGGAGGACGAAGAGGATGACGCCGCAGGACCACGCGTCGGCCTTGGCGCCGTCGTAGGCCTTCCGGCGGAGCACCTCGGGCGCCGCGAACGCCGGGGTGCCGCACGCCGTGTGCAGGTGCCCGTCGTCGCGGAGCGAGTCCGGGAGCGCGGCCAGCCCGAAGTCGGACACCTTGAGGTTGCCGTCGGCGTCCAGGAGCACGTTCTGCGGCTTCACGTCGCGGTGGAACACCCCGCGCGCGTGGCTGTAGATGAGCGCCGACGCCAGCTGCAGGAACACGCGCCGCGCGGCGTGCTCGGGGAGCCTGCGCAACGGCAGGGAGGCGAGGCGGGACAGGAGGTCCCCGCCCGGGGCCAGCTCCATCACGAGGTACACCTTGGACCGCGTGGCCAGCACCTCGTGGAGGCGGAGCACGTTGGGGTGGCTCAGCCGCCGCATGGCGGAGACCTCGCGCAGGAGCCGCGACGCCATGCCCGCGGCGGCCAGCTCGGGCTTGTCGAGAACCTTCACGGCCACGGGGTCGCCCCCGGCGAGGCAGCGCGCGTGGTATACCTTGGCGAAGTTGCCTCGGCCGAGGAGGTGGCCGAGCTCGTACTTGCCGAGGAGCGGCGAGCCGGCCTTGGTGGACGACTTGCTCTTGGTGCCGGTCATGGCGCGCGGCACCAAGGCGACGGGCAGGGCAAGCCGCCTCTTTGGCTTTGGTGGTTTACAGGGGCTGCTGGGTGGGTGGTGCCAAGGTATATAAAAGAAGGGAGTGGTTGAGTCTTGTACGTTGTTTGTGTATGGCGCTCCTGTGCCTCTGCTAGTTCCTGTCATTGGCATTTTGTATTTATAGCTTCATCAAATTATGATCACAGTGATTGCATAATTTAGATCCATGATTCTACCAGTACTACCGCTACATTTTCGTTCATGATCTATTATTTGGAATGTTTACATTTATGGGCTTTGATTTCAAGAAATGAAAAGGTTGAGAGGTGCCTTTTGTACCACGGCACGTTTTCGGGTTCTGAGAAATCTCTCCAATCGGAATATGTATTGTTTAGAAATTTTGCCCGCAAATTTTGTGGAAAATATGACATCGGTAGTAAGAAAGATGTTGGTTGATAACAATTTTTTTCATTACGCTAATCTTGCGTTGTCATTTGTCAGTAGTCTAATTCATAATAGTGAATTAATAGCTACTATCTCCATTTTGACCCTGTTCGTTTTTTTTATAATCCGTTTTTTCAGCTTGTTTTTTTTCAGTTGAAATCGTGTTTTTCTCTCACAACAAATCAGCCGGAACAATGTTTCGCTTTATTTTTTCAGCGAAACGAACGGGGCCTTTAAACTATACTAAGTCGTTTTAATGATTGTCTTTTAAGTGAAATCTTTTACTTTGATCAAGTTTACCGAAAAACATCTCAGGTCAAATAAATACATTATAAAGATATACTCCCCTCCGCCTATAAAATAATGTAATCATAGGATTTATGTAAGTCAAAATAATTTAGTTTTGACAAGTTTATAGAAAAATAGTATTACTATTTATAACTCCAACTAGTTTATTATGGAAATGTATTTCATAATTAATTTCATGGTATTTATTTTTATCATAAATATTAGTTTTTTATATAAATTTGGTCAAACTTTAAATTATTTGATTTCTTCAAAAATGAGAATTACATCTTTTTATAGACAAGGGAGTATGTTATAGTGAATTTAATGAAACTAATTGATGTTGTTTAAAAAAATACTATAGATTTGGTTAAACATAGACAAGCCTAAGGCAAGACAAATATAAAATCTACGTTAAGAGTAACGTAGAAAAATCTGTCCCTTACGAAATTTTTAGCGATGCTACGGAAGTTGGGTAACAAGTGTGGAAATCCTTGAATGTTTATGCATTTTGCAAAGGTAGAATTGTGTAAGATATGTTGAAGCGTGTAAATCAGACAACGAATTTAGGAATTTAAAAAGGGACAAGCTAGCGTCCGAACGTTCGGCCCTAGACCTGTATTCGGACGTAGCTCCCCGTGCGTGCTCCGTGCCGTACGCCCTGCGTGATCGGGTTCAGCATCATCACTCGAACAACTCGCCCCACCCACGTCAGTCCACGCCACCCGAACATCACCAACATCGAGAAGAAGGAGAAGACACTAAGGTGAGGCAGCAAAAGGTGAGGAAGCAGATGCAACACTCAATCTACTTTTAAAACATCCAAATAAAATATTTGCAATATATGTTTGAAACAGTTGAAACACTTGCAAAACACTTATAAAGACACATAAAAACGCTTGAAAAAGCCATTACAAAATATATACAACATCTAAATAAAACGCATGCAACATATGTGTGAAACACATGCAATGTCCAGATAAACACACTTGCAAACATATGTTTGAAAAAAACAGATGAAACATTTAAAACAGACGCTTGAACATACGTGTACAACCATTGCAACATATGTAACATCCCGATTTAGTTTTGCAACATCCATATGAAACACTCAACATACTATAGAACATGTGAAACACTTGAAACGTACACTTCCAACATGAATTTTCCATCCTTCTTCTTCAGCACGACGTAGAGCAGAGCGGGGAACGGCCGGTTCTGGCCAGCCCGCGGCCAAGGATGTTGGCATGACATGGTAACGCCTAGCTGCGTCTGCGCCCGGCATGGTCTGACCACTTCGGATCTCTGATGTCGCGAACTGAGGATGAGCGTCGCAGTGGCGTCAGCGTCGCAGTGGCGTCAGCGTCGAAGCGGCCACAACCTTCTGGTCGGGAATGGCGGTGTCGGCAGCACCTCGGCACCACCTCGACGCGGTGGGGGACGGGGCACGACGCTCAGCTGTGGGGCATGGGGCACGACGCATAGGGCGCGAGGACAAGGCATGGCGTGGTGTGGTGTGGGATAGGGTGCAGCAAGGTGGAGCGTGCGCGGCGGGAGATGGGGCGCTGTGTGGCGTGCGGCGGAGAGGAGGCGCGGTGAAGACGCGACGCGAAGCGAAGAGAGTGGGGACTGGGAATCTATGTTTTTTTTAAGGGAAGATGGAGATTTCTGGAGTAGACCCGCGCTGTGCAGGGCTATGGAGCGGCCGGACGGACGCCGTTGCCAGAGTATTACCTATTAAAAAAGGGCAAGGAACTTGGTTGCCACGGTGGAACCTGAGATTTTTTATTTTCTTCCTCTCCACCACTGTGGGTTTCTGATCACGTACAGAGCCTACTGCTAGTCGTGCCGCCGATACATGGAATCTGCCCGGGGGGAGAGAGCGGAAGAGAAAAAGAAAGGGAAGACTGGAAGAGTACTCTCTAAAACCTGGCCCTTTGATGCTTGGGAGGGCCAGCACGGCAGGACGCAGCATCCGATTCCCACCAGCCACCAGCACCGGGTTGCAGTTGGATCCTGGATCTGGATGGTGCTTGACTGCCGCCCGGCCGCTTTGCGCTGGCCCCACAAACGCTGGGAACGAGACTAGGAGAGAGAGGGGTGGGTCACTCTCGGCGGGGTGGGCCGTTGGGGAGACGCGCAAAATATCGGCGGAGCCCGCGGCGAGGCCCCAGCTTTTTCGGGGAAAATCTAGCGCGGCGCGTGTGGCGGCGGGGCTGCCTCCCGTCGTGCTCCAGGTCAGGAGGAGGGTGGCGAGGCGTACATCAGATGTCAACAGCGGCGGTGTTGCCGTCCCCGGATGCAACAGGAACATTCACGATAGTGTCAGGAGTGGCCCAGATAAATTTTCTGTTCGCTCGGCTGATAAGCTACGGCTAAAAATACGGTTGACTGATTTATTGTGAGAGAAAAATATTATTCGTTGGCTGAAAAAGTATGACTTATAAGCCAAGCGAACAGGACGAAAAACCGCTCGCCTCTTGCGCCAAACACTACTGTAAAAATGTGGTACACGCACCACACGCAGTATCTCTGCTAAGCTGGCAGTAGGCCTGGGCGTTCGGTTCTACCGAACCGAACCGATCAGTTCTTTGGTTTTTCAGGAAGTTTGGTTTTCAGGAAACTCGGTACCGATCGATTCTTAAAAAAAACTCGGTACCGACCAAGTTCGGTTTCGGTAAGTTTGGTTCGGTTCTCGGTTTCAACCGAACTAACCGATCAATTATTGAACATGTTACATTAGAAAAATTCAGCAGTATTTTGGCTGTTTTCAAGGCATAAATGACATGGCAACATATGCAAATCAATAAGTCACAACCAACACATCAGCACATTCACAAATCACAAGTTCACAACCCAATTACTAATCTCTTGGTACAGATTTACAAGTTGCTCCCATCGGTTTTGGTTCTTCGGTTATTTCGGTTAACCGAGGGGAGAAACCGATTTAACCGAACAAAGTTCGATTCCTAAGAACTGAGAACCGAACAGGTAACCGAAATTTCGGTTCTCAGTTAGTTCGGTTCGGTTCTCGATTAGTTCAGTTCGGTTCTCGGTAAAATTTGCCCAGGGCTAGCTGGCAGATCAGCATTCAGTAGTCACTTATGACCTCAACGGTGATATCCTTGCTCCTCTGTACACGAGCGCCAAGAGCTGTTCGGCTGGTATTAAAGCCGGCTGATAAGCCGGCTGAAGCTGTTTTGTTATGAGAGAAAAATACTGTAGATTTTAGCTGATAAGCCGGCTGATAAGTTCAAGCGAACAGGCCCGAGTGCTCAATGTTATTTTACTCGTTTATTTTACCACACCCCCCTGGCCGGATGGAGATGGAGACGCTTTATCTGCCGTTAACTTGTACAGTAATACTATGTAACTGTTTAGTTCCACCATATGCTTAATTATACTTGGCTCTGTGAAACAAAGACATGACAAACTACCTGGTAATAGACTAAGAGATGTTTGGATTCGGTGACTAAAATTTAGAAGGTGTCACGTGAGTATATCGCATAGGGTGTTTGGATACTAATAAAAAAATAAATTACAGAATCCGTCAGTATTCCACGAGACGAATTTATTAAGCCTAAGTAATCCATCATTAGCACATGTTTACTGTAGCACTACATTGTCAGATCATGGACTAATTAGGCTTAAAAGATTCGTCTCGCAACTTAGTCGCAAGCTGTGCAATTAGTTTCATAATTAACCTATATTTAATACTCTATACATGTGTCCAATATCCAATAGGTCCCATCGACTAAAGTTTAGGAGACCTGACACCAGTGATTTAGAGCGTCCGCGGGGTCGTCTCTTTAGGTGGGTCCTACAGTGATGTGATGTCTTCTTCTAATATTTAGGGCATATTTGGTTTCTGCAGGACCTTCTAAAATTCCTGTCACATTGAATGTTTGGACACAAGTATGGAGTATTAAATATAGACTAATTATAAAATTAATTGCACAACTTGCGACTAATTTACGAGACGAATCTTTTAAGCATAATTAGTCCATGATTTGACAACGTGATGCTACAGTACATATGCTAATGACAGATTAATTAGGCTTAAAAAATTTGTCTCGCAAATTAGCCTCTTTTGTAATTGGTTTTGTAATTAATCTATATTTAATGCTCCTTATTAGTATCTAAACATTCGATGTGACATGAATTTTAGGAGCGACTAAAGAACCAAACACGGCCTTAGTTTACAATGTGTAGAACCGGGTCTGGATCCATAACTGGGCCCACTATTCGGATCTCCTCTCTTTCCTCGGTCT